GCAACAAGCATTCTCACAGGCAGAACTGAGCCAAAGGAAGTACCACTAGTGTTACTTCAGATTGTGTGGAAGTAAATGAAAATGCTAGCTTTCATGCAGCTTATTGGAATGGTGCATCCTTTTGGTTTAAATCAAAGTATTCTATGAAGAAAATAATTTGTACTGAGAAAACTGCTGTGGGGTTCATGAAGCTATGTAATATATTCTTTATTCATTAAGCCTCATCTCCTTGCCAAATGCTTGCCAGACATACTAAGAAACAGGAGATTTTTTTTTTCCTTAGAGGTAGTTTTAACAAACAGGCTTTGTTGGAGGTAAAAATCACTGATGTAGTAAAGGAAAAAATTCGTAATATATATCACCTTTCTAAAATCTGCCCACCTCTGTTCTCAAATACACAAATCAAATATTCCCCATCCTGAAAGAAAAAATTTCCAGTTGTCTTGGATTATCACTAAATATTTCCTAAAATCATTTAGAATATAGTTTACTTTTTTAAAAATCTTTGCTACTTTATTTATCTTAATGGTTTAGAAATAAAGTCTTCATCTAGACTAAGGTCATTACAACCAATTTGCACATAATAGAGAACAAAAATGATTTAGTACCATAGTTCTCAACCTTTGCACCATGCTCCAGTATTTCACAAAGGCACTTCTCATTAAAAGCAAGCACGCCCCCTTCCTACCCTCCCATCTCCCAACACACCACTACTGGGTATTCACTGGTTACATGCTATTTTCTTCTCTCTCTCTCTCTCTTTTTTAAGATTTTATTTCTTTATTTGAGAAACAGCAGAGAGAGAGAGAAAGCACATGAGCAGTGGGGATGGGCAGAGGGAGAAAGAGAAGCAGACTTCCTGCTGAGCCCGGAGCCCCATGAGGGACTCGATCCCAGGACCCTGAGATCATGACCTGAGCTAAAGGCAGATGCTTAACTGAATGAGCCACCCAGGTGCCCCCTTGCTATTTTCTAAGTATGTAAAATCTTTGGCTGATGCTTTAATTCCACGAATGGCTGAATTACTACTCTAGTATGGTGGGAAAGGGTCAAGATACAATAGACTAAATTTCTATGAACATAAACATTATGTCACCAGGAAAGAAGTCCACTGCTGCTTTTATCCTGGTATCTTATTTTGGCACTTTTAAACCAAGAAAAATTAAAACTTGTAGGAATTTTAATTTTTTTCAAGACACACTCTATATTTTAGGTGATGAAGGAAAAACACAGAAAAGATCATGCAAACAGAGGAGAAAAAGAAATATAGTTGTTAAATGAATTAGCTGGCAGGATGTTAGAGTCCTTTATCCAAGAACTCTGAACAGAAATTTATAAAATTAGAAAGTCTGGCTTATTACATACTGTAGGTATGGAAATCCTATACCAAAAAAAAGCTTATTTTTAAATAAATTCAATAAAGCCCTGCTTTCTATTAATCAAAGTGAAAGAGCTAAAATTCATTCATGGGAGAAAGAACAGGAAATCCTTTATTAATTCAGTGGGAAATACCTATTGGTAGTAGAAGCTGTTTTGGGTTTTCTCCCCCTCTAGACTCAATGGTGCTAAAGATTTCAAGGAAGTAATTTGTGAAAAGCAGATGGCCCGGTGCATAATTTCAAAATCTAAGTGTTACAGTATGATGAATTAATCACTCATTCTCTTTAATTTTTTAAAACATCTTTCTCAAGATTGTTGTAAAGTAGCTAATGTCAACAATTCAAGCAGGTTGGAGAAGCAATCTGTAAGGCTATGGAATTGCGTGTGTGTGTGTGTGCGTGCGTGTGTGTGCGCACGTGTGTGTGTGTGTGTGTGATATAATGACCCATAAAATTCAACATCTTACAAAGAGACTGAAGATGCTGCTATCAAAAGAGATATAGGAACATATTCATTCAAAAGAAGCCACGAAATTTCTAAACATTTTTCTTTTTATAAAGAACACGTTATTCTGACATTTGGTTATTTTTTTGGCAGCAACTTTTATTATTATTATTATTATTATTTGAGATAGAGTGAGAGAGTTTGTGCCTGTGCATAGGAGTGGGAGAGGAACAAAGAGAGGAAGAGAGAGAATCCTAAGCAGGCTCCTCACCCAGAGCAGAGCCCCAGGCAGGACTCGGTCTCATGACCTGAGCCAAAATCAAGAGCTGGACGCTGAGCCACCCATGTGCCTCACAACAACAACAACAACAACAAAATATATATATATATTACAATATAATAACACGTGGAATATGTTTAGTGATACAATGAAACAATTCTATGAGATGTATTCTCAGTAGTCTTACTGCTGTTCCATCTACATTAAGAGACACACTAAAAAAAAGAAGTCATTTCCTCCTTGCCTCACACACAGGATACCATAATGTGTAAGGCAGCCAGGAAGACTGCTGTACTTCACCTCTGAGTAGAAATAACTAGAGATATGATTTCAGGGTTTTCTGTGCAGGAGGAGAGAATGAAGCAACTAGTTGAAATGCCAAGGGCAAAAAGAGTGGGTGCTCTCAGCCCACTGCCAACTCAAAAGCTGGAAGCAAATCCCTGTCATATTTGTCCTAATGCATGGGGCAAGAGTGGGGTTTGTACATCTGTGTGTACATACTTGGAGTTGTTGACCAATATACATGAGGGGAGAAGAGAGGTCAAGGTAATAACAGCAGCGAAAAAAGTTAGATTTGTGAAACCCTACAGTTAATATCCCAGAGACACAGGACTTCTAATGACATGGTAGGAAAAGCACAGGCTGATGTAACAGAAATGCCTTATTCAAGTTTGGTGAAAAATCACATCCCCCAGAAAGTCTTAGAAACAACCATTGGCTAGGAATAATTTATTTTGTTTGAGAAAGAAGAAATATTTTTCTCCCCCCACCCCGGCCACCAATGACAATGCTAATGTAATATGCACATGGAAGTCGGACAAGTAAAACAAACTGGTGACACAGTCAACTTTCATACTCACACGGCTACCGCAGTACACAGATGATAGTAACACAGATGGCTTTGGAAAAACATGAGTGAATGAATGAAAAGTCCTTTGTTTAATTGACTGACCCATTTTTATTGCTTATCCATTGTTCAGTTGCTTACTTTTAACATACAATTATTTATTTGAAAGGTTTCATACACTTTATCTTTAATTCTCACAATAATCCTGTCAAGTAGGTAATATTCATCCTATATTACAGATAAGAAACCTAGGCTGCAGAGATGCTGAACTCTGGGCCATTGAGGTTGCAGAGCCAGGATGTGAACCATCACTGCCTCTGTGATTCCTAGTGGGCTTGGCACATAAGCTCTGGTACATATCACCTAGTAAAGCCAACACTTATTCAGGTAAACAAGGATATTTGGAAGTGTTACGGGCTGGATTATGCCCCTGACCCAATGTATACCTTGAAGCCTTAACCCCTGGTACTTTAAAAGGTGACTATATTTGAAGATGGAGACTTTAAAGAGGCTGGTTAAGTTAAAATGAAACCACTAGAGTGGGCCCTAATCCAGTTTGATTAGTGTCCTTAGAATAAGAAGAAATCTGAAAGCACAGAGATGCCAGGGGTGCATGCCCACAGAGGAAAGACCATTTGAGGACCTAACAAGAGGGCAGCCATCAGCAAGCCAGGAAATCAGAATGAAACCACCCTGATTGTGGACTTCCAGCCTCTGGAACTGTAAATAATAAATTTCTGATTAAAGCCACCCACTCGTGGTATTCTGTTATGGCAGTCCTAGGAAATGACTATAAGAAGAGAAAAGAAATCGCAATAACACACACAGACTGCAAAAGGAACAACAGCTCATCTGCTGTTTAAAATCAGACTGAGCTGCAGATTTCACCCTTGTTAATGAAACAGGAAAGAGTTCCATCCCTGGAGGCACCGAAGAACTGTGGCCCTGCCTGCCAGACACACCCCTTGCAGAGTCTTCCCCTCCTACCACCCTCTCCACCTCTTCTCTCTTGCACACAGAAACATGGCTGAAATGTCCCCACAACGTCAACACACACACCCGAACAAGCAAGGTACATGTTAAATTAAAAGCATTTCAAGGCACGGCCCAGCGTTGTACCTCAGATCTTGCTAGAATAACATGAGATTTATAAAAATACAACCCACTGGATATTTGGCCCAGCTTGGGAATGAAGAATATGTCCACTGAAGAGCCAATACCCCAGGCTGTCAAAAAAAATCTCAAGCCAAAATTTCTTTCATAAACATTACCTATCTTTTAAAATTCTACATTCTAGGAAGTAAAGAAAACGTCTGCTTATTTTCTAAGTCTCTTTTTGCCTAACGTAAGAAACATAAGCTACACAGAAGAAGATATTAACTGCTCAGTCAAGGCACACTGACGGGACAGCTCTGTGTATCTTGCAAAAAGCCGCCAACACTTCTAGCCATGGCCCTGGGTCACCCTTGCCCCCAACACACACCTACGCAGAACTCCCACTCCAATACCAGCCACCTCTAATCCTGATGCACACTGAAAGGGGGTATCTACAGATGATTTTCTCAGATACCAGCCAAATAATGTTCCCGTTCACTCTCTCACCCACCTTGGACCATACAAAATTTAACATCTGGGAGAATAAACGCAGCCTCAAACGCATATGACAAGGGTGAGCAGTCATCGACGAATTCTCCTCAAGCAAAGAGGGTTTGCCAGCTTCCCTCTGAGGTCCGGGCCCTGAAAGGCCAACTGTGGTATGTTTGAGTTTCCATCAGGCCTGGTACTTGCTGGCTGCTGCTGTGTTCAGTCAGAACCCCACGGCCCAACTGTCTTATAAACATCGCACCCTTCTGCTAAGAGCTGCTCTGCTCGCCTAGCCTTGCTCCTTGGAGCCGAGAATATGCTGTTGGAGAGTTGCAGCCTGAATGTTAACGAACACTCGGAGCACAGCTGACCCCTCTCTCCTCCCAGGCAGAGACTGCTCAGAAAAAATATGCACATTCACATGAACCTAACAAGAACAGGAAGAAAAGTCCAGATTTTCCTCACCATGTGCCACCCAGCCATGTTTACACTGATCACAAGTCCTCAGGTTAATCTTCCCCGGCTGAAAACATTCACACGTGCAGTTTACCAGTGTGCAACGGATAGCCTGGAAAAGAAAGGAGGAGAAAAAAGGATCAGCATCGGTTCAAAGGTACCGAGTTTCTTCAACATTTTAATAAATAACATCCACTCCTATTTTTAAAGGCTTTATGTTGGTAGCAGCTTGGAGAGTTTTATAAATTTGGATACCATCAAAACCTCTTACCAAAAAATGTGAAAAAACAAAGCTCATTCACTAACCAAATGTTTTGTGTCATTCATATTTAACCTTTACATTAGAAACGTAGACCAAACAGAATAAGAATTAAAAAATTACATATTCTACAAGATGCTTGATTTGTAAAGCTAGGGATCCCAAACAGAAAAAAATAATGCTGCTACTATATATTCCCATTTAAGTCTATCCACTAAGCAATAACGCAGAAAAATATATTCTAATAAAATAATGCTCAGGTGAAATGTTGGTGAACATAAAACATGACATACAAATACTATTATTAGAAGATTACTCTTCTGCTGAGTTTCACTTAAATGCTTTCTTAATCTATCAGATACACTTTGAAAGACACTCTTGTCAGCCCAATAAAATCTAGCATAGTTCTGGTATTATTTACTCCCCAATTCCTTATTTTTTCTCCTTTTTGATTTATTAATTTCATTTTCATTCTCATTTTTAAAAAATACAAAACAACCTTCCTTTTACTTTATTTATTTTTTTTTAAAGTGGGCTCCATGCCCAGCATGGAGCCCAAAGTGGGGCTTGAACTCACAACCCTGAGATCAAGATCTGAATTGAAATCAAGAGTCGGAGGCTTAACCAACTGAGCCAGCCAGGTGCCCCCTTTTCTTTTACCTTAACAGCGATGTAAAAAAATAAGTTTAGAATAGGAAATGCCATTTATGTAAACATCTTATATCTGTAACAATCCAACTCTATCTTAGAAAACTGGAAAACACACTCAAAAATCTTTCATTTCTTTACAGGTACTTTAAAAAATCATCTCACCAGTTTACATTATAAAGTGAATCCATAGAAAATTAGCATAAATGAAGTGTAACTTTTTATGGAGAAAAACCTATGCTTAAAACTTGCTAAAGCTGACCTATGCTCCTAGACCACAGTCAATAAATTTATCTCATACATTTAGTTCTAATTTGCATGGAAATTCTGAAGACAGAAGGAATTTATTCTGATCATTCACAGATTAACAATCTACTGTAACTACCAGAACTGCCAGGAAAAGATCTCTCTACAGCTTTAGATGCAATCAATGCTTACTGATTTGGGGCGGTGGGGGCCAGGGGTGGTTGTTGGAGGATAGGCATGGAACTACCTGAAATTGCAGTTCTGTAACTGAAAGCTATGCTCACTTACACAGCTTCCAGATGCTCCTATTCCTGGAACCATTTGGATTTTTATATAAACTGTCTCACTTGTAACAGACAGTATTTTAGATATTGTTAACACAGTTGGGCCAAATTTCATTTACACAGAATTAAGACTGGACGGGGTTTTACTGTTCCCTATGCTTTGCATCAGGCAAGTCTGAAGTATTTCTCTTTTCACTAATGAACATTAAATCTCTAGGTCCCAGTGCGGTTTGCAATGAGTCCTCACTATAGACTCCTTTCTTGGTTCACCTTTATCTCTCATTTGCTGCTCCATTTCCACTAGGGAAACATGCAACTGTATAATGTGCCTGACATTTCAGGGTCTGTCTTCCAGTGTCAACAGTCCAAGTACATATTAGCTAGATTGTAAAACTTTCTGCTGTATCCATTGGTGATTGGAAGAATTAGTAATAAGAATAGGGATACCAAAGGAAATAAATGCTGACTAAGCAAGAATAACATATGCATTTGTAGGTTGTAGGGGGGAAATATTTCTCCCAAAATTTCTTATTTCCACTTCAACAGTTTACTGACTGAGCAATATATCAGAACATAACACGTTAGAAAGAGCTTATTTAAATATTACATTCATTAGTTAATGAACTCACAACTTGATTATAATATGGTCCAAAAATCCAAACCCAAACAAAACAGTTTAGAAAGCAGTGTTTCCACTAAAAACAAGGTACTTTACAAACTATCTAATTATAAATTCAGATACGGCAACCACATTAACATTAAAATATTCATGTAATCTGAACTGCAATAATACAAGCTTTCATAACTCCAAAAAAAAAAAATCACCTCCGCTTTACCAAAATTTAAAAAATTCCCGATAAAAAGAGATGACTTCTCAAGGACTATGTGTCAACTCCAGCACAAAAGACATACACACTTTCAGTTATTATTTTGATAACATTTAATTATTTTACAAAAATAGGCTAATTTTACATTGTGTTTAAAGCATACTTTTCTCAATTTTAATTATACCTATATTCACAACAGAACAAATTAAGAGACCATAGATTTACTTTATTTTTTTATGTATAATTATTTATTCACTGGTTGACTCACATTCATGCATTTACTCTGAATTACACTATGTTTTAAATATTTTCTCTACTTAAATAACTTTATACTTCTGGCACATTTGGGAATTAAACTTTTCAGATCATCATCTTTTTTTTATGAATTCAACTCTTCTTGTACCTAAACACACAAACATTGGAACACCTCAACTCCTTTTGTATATAAACACTTAAACACTGGAATATCCATTTTGTATTTCCATGAATTCCAGAAGGTCTGTTTGTTTTAAATTCAGATTTTTATAGACTACAATTGTTCCTTAAGGGAATTATATATATTTAAACAATATGGTCTAAATAAATATTTTGAGTAAGAGACTATTGTGGCTTCAAAGGAAGTTTTATTCTAAATAACATTTTTGAAACAGCATAAAACTCTGACATACTATTTATTCACAACAAAACAGAACCAATGTGATCACTTGCCAACTCACCCACACTTAAAGAAAATAAATTATCATAAAATTATCAAAGGCAGTTAAGCCTCAAAAGTGTACATGCTTTACAAGGAGACAGCTGGGAAAAGTAGAAATGGATAAGCTTTCATTTTTTTGTAAGCACATTCACTTCTTCCTTCATTCAGCCAACATAGAAGTTCCTCCCACTCACTGTTGGGCACTCTCAACTATAGGAAACCCAGAGATGAGGAGGAAGTGGCATAAAGGGGATACCAGGAAAAGAGCAGACAGTTTAGTCAGACTGTCCCCCCCCCCATATTTGCAGGGAATCTCATGCAGTCTGGCATTATCAGCCTCTCCGTGCCTCGTCAAGAGTGCTCGGTAATTCTTTGCTCAATTCTGACCTGATCAGCATTGCCAAATCCCCCATAACAGTAACGGTAATGAATTTTTTAAAATCTGCAACTTATTAAAAGTAATTATTCCTTCTGCTTACCTTTACCATGGATTTCTTGAAAGAAAAATCCATGCACTCAACACCCACTGCTTTTACTTCTGCACCACCACCTACATTTTAATTTTGCAATCTGGATTCTGCCCAACACGTTTCTGAAACTTTCTCCAAAAGGAATGTTCTCATTAATTTTGGTCCCTTTTTCTAGTATCCTGGTCTTCCCAGACCTCAATGCAGCTTAAGGTACGCTCTCCTTCATTCCTGGGCTGTAGAGACCAACTATCCTCGTTTTTCTGGCAACAACGTCTCACTCTCTTTCCACTGTAAATAAATACAGGTGTTTCCCACGCCAGGCTCTCATTTTTTAATTTGGCAATTTTATCCCCTCCTACAGCTTCAAATATTATCACTATGCAAAACCCTCATTTTGGAGCCAAGTACTGTGGTAAGTGGCAGGAAACGGATGGCAAAGTCCCTGAGCTTAGGGACCTGACAGAGTTTGTGGGCAGTGGGTGTAGAGAAATGACCCTAAAAGAACAGAAGGAAGCCCTCAAATGGGCTGGAGAAGCACCATCTCTCCCTTTTTATTCCTCTGTCTTTTCTTCTTCTATAGGCAGGATTTTAAAATTTATAACAGTAACCTATTACCCATTATCATTAATAATAGCTAGATTTACTGGATATTTGCCATTTTCCACTCACTATGTTAAATATTTTATAAACATTAGCTCTCTTAATCGTCAGAAAATACCATGAGGTTAGTACTATTATTACCTTTATTTCACAAATGGGGAAAATGAGGTGGAGATAATTCAGTACCCTGCCTAAAGACACTGAACTAATAAAGTTACAGGAATCGAACACAAACTCTCCATCGGACTGAGAATTTGAACTGTAATCCCATTTACAGTCAGACAATCACGGGGCAGAGCCCCTCAACCTGCCCACCATTCAACCCCTGCTGTACATGGTTAACTCATGCTCATCTTCCAGATTTCAACTCCAATATTTATTGCCAGGCCCCAGGGTAGCTGCCTTCATTTCCTGGTCAAGCTCCCCATTAGTTTCCTGTTTCACAAGGGGTCTTTCTGTCATAGCACATACCATGCCTGTGAGCATTTATCTGTAACTTATCTTTATTTATTATCTATTATATATACATGTATTAATACATCTGTATGATTATTTGATTAATGTCTGTCTTCCCCTCTAGAATTTAAGCTCCATGAGGGCAGGACAACACATTTGTTCAGCTTACAATATATACTGGCAAATAACAGGTACTCAAAAGGCACTTGAAGAAGTACATGATCCTCTGAGCCTCCTTCCTCATCTCTCACAGTAGCAATAATACCACAAGAGAGTCAAGACTTAAAATAATGACTATAAAGCACATAGCACTGTGCCTAGTAATGGGAAAAGCTCAATAAATGGAAACCATTTATGACCCAAGAAACTTTCCACATATTATATTTAAATTTTCCCCCCTTATGATTCTTCCCAATGTACTATTTTCCTAACACTTTATAAAATGTCTAATACATATGTAGTCTTAATGAATAAATGACACTTTGAGTAAATGACACTTTGACACACATGATGTTATATTATTCATACTACAATCCTCTAAGATAGGTATGACAAAGATTAGTATTTGTTTTTAATATTAAGGTTTGGAAATGTTTATATGGATATTACACGGCTCTGAAATGCT